ATAAAACAGATTAAAAGTGAGAAAGTTCCTTGAGTTTACTCTTCTTTTCTAGAAACCACTAATAAAAGAGATTATGGTCAAGAGAAAGGGAGTTTAGGGAGAGGACTTCGGAGGGAGATAGGATTGCCTAACTTAATTGCTATTTCCTTTTCTACCCCCCTTCAATCCTGAGAAGAAAAACAAAGGTCAAATGGCTCAAAGCACCAGCTCAGAAACAAAACAGGCAGAGGCAAGCTTGTTTTAAGTAAAAAAATAAATAAATAAGCACCACTAGTTTTTTGCTTTTTGTTTTTTTGCTTTTTTGTTTTTATTGAGTGGCTGGGAACAGTGGGAGAAAAACAGTCACTGTCAAAACTATTCCTGGTGATCAAGCACAAAGATAAGGGAAAAAAAAATCTTTCTTACATTTGTTTAAACTCAACAAATGTATGTAAAGCAGGCACAATGTGTCAAGGGTTTTCTAAAGCACAGTTTTAAGTAATAATTAAATTAGGAAAGAAAGACGGAGGGGAAAGGAACAGAGTTCTACAACATTAGCCAGAACTTACAAGTAGGAAAAGAGTGAGAAGTCAAGGAATCTAGTCTTTCCATGACTTTGTCCCGCATCTGACCAGCCAGGACACCGAGTAACTAGTGTGAGAAAACCCCCTGCCACCACTCAGAGACCTTTCTCCACAATATTTCATACATAAGAAACCAAGCTATTATTCATTCCACAAACATACGCTGAGCATTTACATACATCTATGTACATATATCTATTTGTATGTAAATCCATAAACATTATAGATGTTTGGGGAGTATAGAGGCTGAGGACCAACTCAGACCTACATTACCTAAATCCCTCATTTTAAATCATATTTTTCATGCCCAGATGATTAATAATAATCCCTTACCTAATAATCATCCCAATCTGGAAACTCCCACTTTGGGAGATACAAAAGTGACTAAGATAGTTCTTTGATGTCAAGGAGTTCACATCACTGATAGGCAAATACATAAATTCTGAAAGAACACAGTCCAAAATGAAACATGAGAGGAAGAGATTCCTCGCTGTGGACATTCAAAGGAGGCAGAAAGGGTGTTCTTTTATTTTTTTTTTTTAAGATATTATTTATTTGACAGAGAGAGATCAGAAGTAGGCAGAGCAGCAGGCAGAGAGAGGGGGAAGCAGGCTCCCTGCTGAGCAAAGAGCCCAATGCGGGGCTTGATCCCAGGGCCCTGAGATCATGACCTGAGCCAAAGGCAGAGGCTTAACCCACTGAGCCACCCAAGTGCCCCAAAGGGTGTTCTTGTGAGAATTGCAAAGGGTGTGAAGGAGGGCCTCACAGAAACAGGTATATTTGGGTTAGGACAGTTACAATTTGAACATGTACAGAAGGAGGAGGAAAAATCTACTATCAAATTAATAATAAGAAGAAACAGGTCTCCATTGTTTTTTGAGAAACAGGCCCTGCTCTGAGTACCTTACATAAATCTTCTCTTAAATCTAACCTAAATCAATCAGGTAAGTCCTATTATCTCCCCATGTTACACATGGAGAAAGCGAACCTCAGAAAATGTATGTCATTTGTTCATGGTCAGCCAGAGACTGAAGAGGTAAATTTCAGTTCTAGATCTATCCCAAGCCAGAGCCCACCTGCTTCCTAGAGAATAAACAAAACCCAGGTATGCAAAAGAAGCAGATAGAGAAGACCAAGCAGCCATCCTTCCGTCTGGCGGGAGGGGGTTGAGTGGGGGAGATATCCCCGGGAAAGGTACAGGGAGGCAGGATCTGGATGCTGCATTCAACTATGTGGGCTTTATAAGGCAGCATGGAGAAACCACGGAAGATTTCTGAGCAGAGCATACCATGATGAAAGTTCTATCTCGGGCTTTGGGCTATGAATCATGAGTTATGTCTTATAATCTGAAATGATAAAAATCGAGGTTTGAAGAGTCTCACCCTGCATTTAAACAGAAAGGCATGTCTAGGAACCCGGTGGAACTACTGCCTCATCGCTGTCCAGACAAATTCCCAACATGCCCGTTCTCAAGGAATATTCTACAGAGCAGAGCTTAAGATAAATGCAATGAGTCTCTGTTACGCCACAGGACAAGGACCTACTCATCCCTGGAGCTGTCCAAATCTGGCAGAAGGAGAGCCCTGGGGATTGTAGCATGCCCTGGGACCTGAGGCGATGGAGGGGGCGGGCGCAGGGCAGTAGGCACAGCACAGACATGGGCATCAGATATTGGCAAAGGCCAGACTCCCGAATATCAGTCCTGGGCTCCTTTCATCAAATCATGTTGGCTCCGCCATTAAATATGTAACACTGAATAAGCCCCCTTCCCTCACTGGCTCTCCCTTTCATCAGTGAAATGAGAAATTGAACTTGTCGGGACTCGGATTTCATAATTCTCAATACATTTTCCTCTCCGACACACCAGGAGAAGAGATCTGCTTCCACCGGTGGCTCACTAACTGGGGTCCAGTGGAGAAGCAGCAGCTCCCAAGAGCTTCTACAGCTGGGAGATCCTAACACAGGAATAACTGTGCTTCCTTATCTCTAGGAAGCCTGCTAGTTCTGACCATATTACAGGATTCATAGTTTTCAAATTCTGGCTGCAAACTCCTCATTGAATTCAACGTGGCCCAGGAGCATCCTTTTCAAGTGCAAACTGGATCACAGAGGTCCAAGGTTATTCAACAACATGAGGGGCCGTGCTCATATCTGAGCACATCCGGGGAACTCCACATTCTACCACTGGGAAGTAAACACTTCTGAATTCAGACTTGTCAGAGCCTGACAGCACCTTGTTGTTATTTGAGAGCTTTGTTTTACTCTCAAAGGATTGTGTCTGCGTGCATGGGTGCGTGCACGCATGCATGTGTTTATGATTAAAATTCCCAGGAAGCCAAGCAGAGACTGAAATTGTGGAGCTCTTAGGAGAGGGGAGGGGAAGAAGCATGGTACACCTTATTACACGTTCACAGAGACACTCCTACAAACTCAACCATCAAAAGTGAGTTTCCAAAGAAATACAAGTATCTCCTCCTTAAGAGATTATCAATTATATAGATGCAAGAAGCTTTGCTTACTAGAAGATACTTACTCTGTTCTTACGAACACTGCTGATCAAACAGAAATTAGGACATGGGTTCACATATTTTGGGGAGAACTTGTTAAAACTATGTTGCTTCATCAGATCACACCCAACAGTTCACCCACAAAGGTGCGCATGAGTAACTAATTCCTATAACCAATTCACTGCAAAAATTTGAGGCATCTCAAACCTATACCCTCACCTTCTTTGACCTCTGACCAGGGGACTGAAGCAGAATGACTGATCTATGTAACATTAACAGTGATGTAAGCCTAATTACAGAACTAGAGAAACCCACATTTTGAGAGTTACCTCATGGTTATTTGTTTTTATAGGACTGGAGAAGAATATTCATTTCTTCTCCAGACATGAGAAAGGAAAATCTCCCCAAAACGTGTGACAGAACTATCAGCAGGAGTGCCAACCTTACATCGGAGACTCTTGGGAAGACCATGCTTACAGGACCAAACTCAACTACCCACGTTCTATCCTGGGAACTGGCTCAAGATGTCTTCTGCTGTCAGGTACTTAAGGTCTCCTCCATCTCTGCCACTGACTGATTCTCTAAGACCACCAAAAATTAGGCCATTCATCCAAAAAAAGATCAGATTTATACTTAATGCATGGTTTAGCAAATTCATCAAGAAGCAAAAACAAGCAGAAGACAAATCCTTGAAAGGTTCAGGCTTGATCCTCATTTCTTACCCAAGATATTAGTCTAGCAAGTACCTCGGCCCCTTGGCCCTAGCACTGGGCCTTCAGAGTTCGTCTCAGTTGTGATTTCCTGAACTCCACAAACAACTGCACATGTCCAGGGTGTTCTTCCCACAGGAGCCCAGACCTTGTGGGACAGTGTGCATGTGGATCTGTACATGGTGTGTATATCTGCCACCCTAGAAATGCAGCTTGGCCTATTGGCTAATGCTAGTGGAGGACAACCCACAAAGCTGCCACTTTAGCAGGTGTGGAGGAGACACTGACCCATTGACATAAAACCCAGAAAGTAGAGAGTATGAGAGAAAGTATAAGTTCAGAGCAACATGGATTGAAAGTGTGTTTCCAGAAGCACAGACTGAATTCTCTCTGCTGAAGCATCCAGATAGATCTTCAAAATTGTGAATGTGGATAAAATACCAATATACACAGAATACCTCCTGACACTAACTTCAGGTGGGCTGAATACACACACACACACACACACACACACACACACACACAAAACCCCAAAGGAGAATATTGGGCATCTGATGCCAAATAACTCACTCCAATGATTACCTCCAGGAATTGGAAGTTCTCTAGTAAAGGAGGCACAGTCAGCACTTTGGGTACTTTTACGAAGACTGACTCACAGAGATCCACTTCTCCCACCACACCTTCTCTTTAACTTCTGATCTTTACTGTTTTGTAGGCTCAGGGGAGAGTAGAGGGTAACAAATTTGTTCCAGAGCAAGTCAACTTTTAATTCTGCTTTATGAGGATGTTTTCTTGTAAACTTCAGAGAAAAGGTGCAGAGTAGAGTGTAGGAGGGATGGGGGAGTGGAGAAGGAAGAGAAACGGGGCTGAGGTTGGACCAATAAATGAAGCGAGATTAGACCTTACACTAAACCCAGCTCTGCCCACGTCTCAGGAATTAGTGCTGAAGGGGTACTTTAAGCATCATTTTATCAATGCAGTCCCCTTTTCAAGAGGCAAGTTGATGCCCAAGGAGCTACAGGCTTGCGCAGGTTCCACCTAGTGTTTTTTACCGAGCCTGGGCCACCAGATCCCTAGATGCACAAAGGCGGGACAGGCAGGTCCGAGGAGACCCACCCTGAAAGGTTAAAAAGCAGAGCGCGGGCTCCGGGACTGGGGCGGAGGGGAGGGCTCTCGAAAGTGTCCCGGAGTCGCAGGGGTTAGCGGTGCGCTCTGCGTACCTTGATGTAGGCCCGCTGCAGGTAGTTGTAGGGTACTCTGCGCTGGAAGTCGCTGCGCACATCCTCGCTGACGCGGTGGCGGGACACGGGGCCCCCGAGGCGCTGGCTCTGGCAGCTGCGGTAGCAGCGCGCCCGCTCCAGCAGCGCGCGGAAGAACGGCAGCTCGGCCGCGGGGCCGACGCCTGGGGGCGCGAGCGGGCGCCGCGCGGCGCAGTGGCGGGCGCAGCGCGCTCGGACCTCCCGCAGGCGCCGGTGGCTGCGCAGCGCCGCTTCCAAGTCGCGCACCGCCAGCTCGTAGTCCTCGCTGTAGTAGGCGGCCACGCCGCTGGCGTAGAGCAGGTCGAAGGGCTGCAGAGGCCCGGGCTCACGCTGCTGCTCGGGGCGCGGGCTGTCATGGGGGCCGCCCCACAGCGGCGGCGGGAGCAGCAGCAGCAGCAACGGCAGTAGCGGCGGCGGCGGTAGCGGCGCCCAGATGCGCTCCCGCATCCTCCGGCGCGGAGAGGCGCGGGACGGCCACGCTCCCAGACGGCTCCCGGCACCTGGCGTCAGGGTCGCGTCTCCCACCTCCGCGGTGAGAGCGCCAGCCCCGCCGCGATCCGGCTGCCCCGCGAGCCCCAGGTGACCGGCAGCGCTCAGCGGACTGAGAGGCGGAGGCCGGGTCGGCCGTCCGCTCTTAAAGGGACGCCCACAGCTCGCACGCTCCTCCTGCTGCCCGAGCCTCCGCGAGGCGCTCGCCGGCGCTCAGCTCGCCCTGCAGGCCCGGACCGCGCCGCCCGCACGCCAGGCGCAGCACCGCCCAGTGCCAGCAGGAGAGCGGGCGCTGCTTGAGGCCAGCGCAGGGCGAGAGGTTTCCACGTGCGCTCCCTTGCGCGTGGCAGAATGGGCGGAAATACTCGCTTTATAAACCCCGGCTCAGTGAGGGTAGGAGTCTCATTAGGACTCTTCGTTAGGACTCATACATTTTCTGGAATCGGTGCGGGACCTCTCAGCTTGCAGAGCCCTTCACCTTTAGAGGAAGCACTATCTCAGGCTGGGAGGAGAGCACCAGGGGCAAAGGCTTGAGGAGAAAGGCGGGCGATGAGTTCAGTGTATAGAACTGTAAAAAGGCGAAAGAAACTACTCAAACCTGGGCCTGTGGAATCAAAAGCTTGCAGCTCCTTCCCTTACCAAGGGTCGCTCCCTTGCCTTCGCACCCCATTTTGCAGGGGTGTGTGTGTCTGCATTGGAGCAGGGGTAGGGGCGAGAGAAAAGCAAAATAGCCCACTTTTCTGGGCATAAACCCTATCACAGGACCTGGGGAACCTTTGGAAGACGGTGAGACTGTCCTTACAGTCTGCCTGTTAGTGTACCAACTGTGTGCCTTTGCGCAGTGAGTCTCCGTTTCCTCATCCCCTATGAGACAAATATCTCAACACATCAAATGGTTTTCAGATATAAATTCTTATTCTAAAAGCTAAAGAGGCAATTCAAAATCCCAGTACCCCTGGACATAAGCAATGAACATCAATCTAGGGATGAGAATGCTGAACCGCTTGCCAGACTTCAACACAACTTTCGCTGGAGGCTTTCAGGTTCTTCTGCTTCTCCTCTCCCATAAATACCTCCTGAGCCACGATGTTCCCCTCTTTCCTGTCCCTTGGCTCCAGACTCTCAAAGAGATTCCGGAGAGCTTACTCACTGGAGCCTTGACTCCTCCAACCTGCCTCCTGAAGGCATTCCTGTGTTCTAGTGCCTGTGGCAATTTCCCCAAAGTCTCCTTGGCCACTGGGATGGTGAGCAAGAGGGGAGGGGGGTGGGAAAGAGCCACACATATCAAGTAGTTGATGCGAATGTTCAAAAAAAGTCTTTCCTGTGGAATCCCCACTATGCTGAGGAGGTTGCTGGGGTTTTATGCTCATGCTTTCATTCATTTTGTTGGGTTTGACCACTCTGACCATGAGCAGCTTTGGCTTTGTAATTTCAAGGGACACCAAAGAATCATGCTGTTATTATTTTTCTCCACCAAACCTCACTCATTCTGGCTCATCTCACTGATGGAAAAGCTCCAGTTTGGAGCTGAGCGTGTACTGAAAGCTTTGAATGTTCAGTATGCCAGAATTTGTACTTGGGTCATCCGCCCAGACTTTTTCTCTAGAGATTCTCTCTCTTTTCAGATAAGACTCAGAGACCGGAGTTATCAGTGCACTTGTGGAAGGTTTTGAAGCACACTAGGCCAGGAAGTCCTCCTGTGTGACTGGAGATAAAGTTCCAGGAGGCTTTGCTATAGATTATCCCTACATTTGGTGTCATGTCCACATCATTTTATAAAACGTCAGTTAAATTCCTATCTTTGGATGCCTATTCTCAATTAGATATTCTAGGAGAAGGGAGAGATGACTGAGCCAGGGTTCTTTTCCCTGAAAGCTCATAGTGTTGTATAGGAAGGAGACAAATTGCATATATGTGACTATAGCACAAGGTAGTGAGTAAGGGACAGGCAAGGCTAGGTAAGGAGAAACAGGTAAGCGGCTACATGAACAGCAGGGGGCTACTTAAGGAGACTCACAGAAATCCCAGATATGAAGAAACGTTATACGTAAGATATTAACCAGAGAGAAGGGAATACCTTGTTTGTTCTCATGACAGTTACAAGTCCACTGTTGGTTCTAAATAAAAATAAGAAGTTTTCATGATATTTACAAATGTGACATGATATTGATAAGAAATTTACCAGATTCCTTGGTCAGTTTTCTACACAAGACTGACCATAAAAGACCCCAGTGCCAACACTTTCAGGAGCCTTCTCACTCAAGAATTGTGTTTTTTTTTTTTTCTTTTTCTTTCCTTTCTATTCATGTCTTCACTTAAGAAGCTTTCATTTCACTTTTTTTCCTTCGTGTTCATGAGATTCATTTTTCATATTGGTGAGACAAGAACAGTGCAACCCTGTAACAGTAGAATGTGGTACATGTTAGATTCGATTCAAAGTAATATGGAAATGCAGAAACTGCAAAGATAGCTTCTAGTGGAAGGATCTAGGAAAACTTGGGGAAAGCTCTAGTATTGGCACAGAATCAAAAGTTAAGAGTCTGTAGCCATACCAGACATCCTACTGATCTCCCAAACTGGCCATTTTCAAACTTTTTACATATCTTTCTTCCTTATTTCCCTCTATAAAAATCCTACACGACTTTATAGGAAGCATTTCATTGACATCTCAATATTGCTTGAACACTGGAATCACCTGCAAAGGGCAGAAATACAGCTATCTGGCTCTCAGATTCTGACTTAATTGGTCTGGGGTATGGTCTCAGCATTAAGTTTTGGGGGGTTTTGTTTGTTTGTTTTACATTCCCTCAGTGATTCTAAGACGAAACCAAGATTCAGAACCACTAGTCTAGTGTAGATACCATAGCCCAAAGAGTAAGGCTAAGGATCAGGACCTCAGGTGCTATGGAGGATTGATGAGTCTGAGACATGCCACCCCTCAGATACCTCCTCCCCAAGGAGGGCAATCTGATCTGCCTTGTAAGGCTGGGTCAGAACAAGTGTTCATGACCGTAAAGCAATAAGAGTCATGTAGGATGGAGAAGTTGATTCCAAGCAGTGCTCTGCCCAGTGGCATCAACCTGTGTTTGAAAGGCAGTCCTCCCTGGGTCTCTCATACTTCTACACATCTGTAAATCTTGCTGGGTGTACCAAGAATGTAGTTTCTCATTACATGGGCCATTTCTTAGACAACTGAGTTGCACCTCAGCATTTCGGACTCCCTAAGTCTGGGATGGAGCCTAAATATGTGCGTTTCTAACAAATCCCTTGATGACTGCCTCTTTCCTTCCTTCCTCGGACTCTAAAAAGTTACTGAGGCTCTTTGCTCAATATCGTAGTTTGAGAGTCACTTCATCAGTACGATTCCTCATGAACAGTGGTTCTCAAATTTTGTTGTGTATCTAAAAACTAGTAAAAGGCACAGATGCCCTGGCTTCTTGAAATAGAATCATGTATGGGCCTTCATGTTTCTACTACATTCCCCAGGGCTCCTATAGTCACCAATGTTTGAGAAGCATTGCTTTAGTTAGCAATTCTTCCCTCTACCCTCCAGGAAACCCTATTGGTTGCCACAGCTAGGGAAGAGGAGTACAGTTGTACTAATGGCAGTTAATGGATAAAAGCCGGGCATGATGCTAACCATCCCACAATGAACAGGAGTGTCTCCTACAACAATTATCCACCCTCAAGTATCAACAGTGCTCAAGTTGAGAAACACTGTGGTAGAACATAGCTTAAGCACTGCAAATCTTAATCAATTTCCTTATATTACAGATGAGGAAGCTTAGGCCCATGGATCACATAGACTGACAGTGGCAGGAGTAGATGAATCATTTTACATACCAAAATGTCAAACATACATGCTTTGTGTCAAGGAGCACTGGATGATGGTAGCTTTGTGAGATTTTTAGAAAGAGAAAAGAAAGAAAAACGCAGGAAAGTAATAAAAAAGATGATGTGGAAAAGGGAGCCATTGGAAGTGGCAGATGTCAGAGTGTCTGTTAAGATGGATATGAATGGGGAGAGTGCAATTTCGCTTTTGTTCCCCATTCCTTACAAAGTCAGAGAACAGCCAAAGCACAAGATAATCCATCCAAAAGCTTTAAAAGGGATTCAATCACTTCCTTTTTTATTATATTTGGAATGAATCTTGACAGAAGCTTGAATTTCCTTTCGACTTCTGTTTGCAAGTCAACAGCATCATAGTACCCACTTGCTTTAGGGAACCTCCAGCAGGAAGGAATTCAGAAAAGAGGAGATCCTCAGGAGTTTCTTATTTTCTCCAAATCTGCATAGTTTTCAAAGCTGACTTCTCTCCTTTCTTCAAAATCCTTGTGGAACAATACAAAGTGTCCTCAGACTTCAGCAGTAGACTTTATCAACATTTTCCATAAGCAAATCTAGTATTTTCTTATTTTGATCATGTGTAACCAGGGCTCTTGTTTGCCCCAAACATTTTTGATTCCTTTAAAATGAAAAGAATAATTCTCACTATGCAACAACTGAACCCTGTTCAGCTGCTGTTGATGCTGGCGACAGGGAGCTGTTTGGAAGACTTTTTTCTTACGCAAATAGGATCATCTGAAGACTTTCTTTTCCCCTCCAAATAAATTAGTGTGAGAGGCAAACCACCAACAATCTATCAGTGTAAGAAAAAAAAGTTGGGGGCGCCTGGGTGGCTCAGTGGGTTAAAGCCTCTGCCTTCAGCTCAGGTCATGATCCCAGGGTCCTGGGATGGAGCCTGCCATGGGGCTCTCTACTCAGCGGGGAGCCTGCTTCCCTTCCTCTCTCTCTGCCTACTTGTGATTGCTGTCTGTCAAATAAATAAAATCTTTAAAAAAAAAAAGAAGGGGGACGCCTGGGTGGCTCAGTTGGTTAAGCAGCTGCCTTCGGCTCAGGTCATGATCCCAGTGTCCTGGGATCGAGTCCCACATCGGGCTCCTTGCTCAGCAGGGAGC